TAAGGGACAGACAGCCAATCTCTTTCTATAAGTAGGTTTTTATTGGGAAGAGAGTTAGGGTAATGGGTAATGGGGCCTGAAAGGATATGGGATAAAATTACACATGTGCAGTTCTCTGTAAATCTTTCTTTACTGAGGCACATTACAGGGTACACTTCACAGCAGAGAATTTGGGGTCAAATTGCAAAGTTTTCCTTAAGCAATTTGTTGAAGCTCTCTGTGTCTTTTATTAATCTGTAAAATGGAGGTAATATTAGTACTTCATAGAGTAGTGAAGGTTAGCCAGAATTATCAATATATCTATCAGTCCTAGACTAGCACATGATGGATCATGTGCTTCTATGGTATGGGAAGTGATAAACACCTTGTGACCATGAATGACTTGGAAAGAAGAAGGTGGGATAAGAGAGTACTGCTTAGCACCAGCCCTACTGTACATAACTGAATGCTCCTTCTGTAGTCTTGTTAGTATGTAACTTACACCACAGAATCCCATAAAGAAAGATGGAAAGTATAAAAAGTCTCATTCTGGGTGCTCGAATGATCCATAAATGAATGGAATATTTTCAGCCTGGTGACAAGACAGAATGAGCTGGATAAGTATTTGCCCAACAAGATCTGCAGTAGAAGGGACCCTTAAAGGTCAATGTTCAGATGAAATCCAATGGTGAAAACCTTTGTCCAACATTTTTGGGAGATGCTCAACTCTCCCAACCTGATATCCCTGGAGTAGGGACTCCTGTCCATCATGAGCCCCAGACATTGGGTATTTTTCTTGGATTGAGTAGGATCTAAATCCTAAGCCTACCATGTGGTTCTAGTTCTAACCTTGTGAGATCACAAAGAACCCATCTCATCCTCCTCTGAAGATATGCTAATGTACTTGGGGCATTTCCACCAGTGGGTGTGAGGCTTGGGATCAAAAAGATTACTTACAGCTTTAAACAGAACCTGGGTTGCTGATAGTAAAGACAGTCTGGTGAGATTAAAAAGTGCAGGGGCTTCAAGTCAGTTAGACTTTCAAATTTATCTGTTTATGAGCAGTTTGCTTAATTTATGATTGGTAATGATTTTTATGTAATCATATGTGTGCTTGGGAATTCTTGTGAGAAAAACCCAAGATACAAACTATTTCTAAAATGTAATGAAATTTTCATGAATGCTGAATTTAACAATTAATTAAGTTAACATATTCATGTATCTCATAGACATTAAGCATTTATTAATTATAATTTTGCTATTTTCATGTTTTTGATCTTATAATCTTTTTTTCAGGTCTTACAATTTTTTGCAGTTCCTGGAAAATTGCATAGGCTGCTGCCTCCTGTATCTGTCTGATGGATAAACCATGGCCTCTATTGACCCATGGATTAATTTAACCCTACCAAAGCCATTACTTCCCAAAGTCATGTTACCATGCCACTGCACCAAAGAAAACTTCCCTCTAGTTCCAAGTTGCACATTCAGGAAAGATGGAGCTTTTTTTAGATGTGGAAAAATTGGAGAATGGAAGGAATGAGGAAAAGAAGATGGGAGCAAATTGTATTTATATTTTTCTTGGCCTTCACATTACTCATACCAGAGAGAAAGCAAGGCAAACAGTAAAGAACTGGTCATCCATGCCGGGATTAACCTGGCTAGAAATGACAGCTCTCTCAGTTGGAGAAGTTGCAAGCATTTCATGGAACATTAGCAAAGCACAAAATACCAATCTTTCCCCTGCAGGGCTTACTGCACACATTCCTATTCTCTCATAGAAGTCTTTGGCTACTTCTCTTTCTATCTATGTTTACTAATTATTTCTGTTTTCTGTTTGACTTTTTCAGCCCTTCAATTTTCCTTCTTTTCATCTACTTAATAATAAAATGATATTGACATAAGACAGATGAGATGTGAGCGATACATGAGACAATATAGATGAAATGAATAAATTCCTAGAAAGACATCAGTACTGAAACTGACCCAAGAAGAAAATCTGAATAGACCTAAAACAAGAAGAGGGCAAATTAGTAATTAAAAAACTACCCACAAGGAAAAGTTCAAGACCAGAAGGCTTCACTAGTGAATTCTTCCAACTCCTTAAAGAAAGATTAACATGAATTCTTCATAAACTCTTCACAAAACATAAATAGAACAAATATTTCTCAACTCATTTTATAAGGCCAGTATTTCCCCCCGATACCAACACCAGACAAAGTCTTTACAAGGAAAGGAAACCACAGACAATATCTCTCAAGAATATGAATGCAAAAATCCTCAATAAAATACTAGCAAATGGAATGCAGCAACATACAAAAAATGATTATGTTTCTTAAGCATGTGAGATTTATCTGAGAAATGCAAAAAATATAAGACAAGTAAAAAAAGCAATGAATAATCACACTCTCAGGAAAATTCTGATATGCAGACCAGACAACAGTACACCTTGGATCCTATGGCAGGTACTAACTTGCTTAGTCTTGGATCTATTGAACAGTATGGGGTAGGAGAAGTTGGAATACCTAGGGTCAGAGCTTGCCCTCTCCTAGGAGGACCAGGGGAGCTCTCTCCTGTGTAGGGACAGAGATATCCTCCTGACATATTGATTGAGCTGCAAAGATCAAAAGTCACAGGTGGCTTGGAGCTGGAAGAAACTTTATATACAAACTAACCCCAGTTCCTCTTTTTTAGAAAGATCAGAGAGGCAGAGTGACTTGCTATCTGTAAGGGAGCTCCTGGTGGAAGCCTGGTTCCCACCCCTGGCTCTCACTCTCATTCCAGTAACGTCCCCTGTTGTCCAGTTGTTCAGGGAGAATATAATTGCTCTCGCTGATCATGCCACCCACAGACATCAGAGAGATGATGATAACTAACACTTACCTAGAACTTATCTTGTGGTAGGCAAAACTTGAAGTGCTATACTTGTATTAACTCGCTTATTTCTCATGGAAACCCTACCAGGAAAGGATGTCAATATTCCCATTTTATGGATGAAAACAGTGAGGCAGAGAGAGGTTAAAAACTTGTTAATGTCACTCATCTAGGAAGTGGTGGCAGTCTGCTTTATGTTCTATTAGTCCCTGTCCCTTTTTTCCTTTTCAGGAGGGAGCTAAGGAAGGCAGCTTAGAGCCAACTGATGGCTGATTCTACTGTGCTCACCCTATGTGTCTGTATAGCTTTTGTTACTAGCTGGGACATTCAGGGTGAGGGGCATGATTCTACAATGCTGAGCCATTACTGAATCTGGAGCAGTGCTTGTAGGTGTATGACTCCCGGGATTTTCAGATTTCTGAAAGTTTGTCTCTTACAAGGAGAAGGTAGACTGTGGTACTCACTGACAGAAGGCTTTTTTATTTTGGGTCCATGGACTTTAAGGATAGAGCCTGATCCTGACATTATGTGCAAAATAATGTGTGTGTGAGGGGAGCAGATTTCATTAGGACAGAAATGTTGTCCAGCATGGCTCCTGTGGTGGACCTGGTCTTGCTTGTTCTTTTCCATCCATGGAGATTTCCAAGCCTTTTCCTAGGATCTCCTCGGGGAGTCCTGAGCACAGAGTGGAGGAAGCTCCTGTCTTCTGGGTGTGCAGGTGTTGAGGAGACCATGCACCTATACTCAGGTGTGCAAGTGTGGGGTGCAGTCTGAGTGCACCATCAGCCTGAGTGAGTCCCAGGCCCACAGGTTCTCCTCCAGGCCCCATTACAACTCACAATACCATTGGCCCCTGGGTCAACTCCAATGAGGCTCCATCTCAGGGTCCAGGACACTTCTCCAGCCCCCCTCCCTCTTCTGCTGGCTCCCTCTTCTGCAGCTGTGAATGTCACACATAGCTCTCTCCCTAGTGACCCACATCTATTCTCATCTCCAGAAGCAGTGGGGCATGGAGGGCAAGGAGTTTGGGTCTTCATGCCCTCGGCCCCATGCTTCCTGGAGCAGCACCCATGCACATAGGTGAGCAGACACCTTAAAACTGACCCGAACACTGGATGGAGCTTCGGGAGGTTGGCAGCTGAAGCTAGCTGGTCCACTATCATAAGCTGCCTCTTTGCCTTCACAAGGGCCTCTTCACAGTGTGATAGTATCCAAGCCCTGGGCCATCAGAGTTACTGGTGGCTTGGGCAGTGGCCTTCCCACTGGGATAGCAACTTCACCCTAAACATTCCTGTTATGCCAGCACCCTCAGTGCCCCGTCCTTTACCGAAGTCACCAAGCAGCTCTAGCCTGCAGTGGTGTAGCAGTGATTTTGGTGAATTTAGTTATCACAGAGGCACATAGTAGGAATTCAATCAGTGGCTGATTTGGGTCTACAAACATCAGTGCTAGGGGCTGGGGGCACAGGACTGGCTCCTTTGTAGGAACATGGAATTTCTTTACAAAATAAAGAGAGCAACTGCCTTGCAGATATCTGAGGAATTTAAGGCACTGAGAGTCAGGGCTCAGCATGCTGTGATTTCAGGAATCCCTGAAGAGACTCTTACCCTTTACTCACCTCCTTTACAAACCAGAAGCAAAGCCCATGCCTCGCTGCAGTATGTACATACTGTGTGCACACAAAGGCACATTTTGCTGTGAATGAGCTCCTGGTCAGGTTATTCACACTAAGAGGTCTAAGATTTGGGTCAAAAGTAGGCCAATCAGTAGGGCAGTAGTACCCATTGCACACTTAGCAAAATCCTGAGGATGGGGGCCACAGATGGCACAGGAAGCAGAACATCAGGTAAGTGTGGCCATGGAGGGACAGATGATTCCTATCTCTCAATGACACCCTGATTCCCACCAGTGTGCCACATGTTGTGGGGCAGAGGTCTTGCCCAAGTGCTTCCCCAACACGACATGACACCACCCAGGCTCAATGGCCATGGCCCTCACTGGAGATTGCTTCAGTTTGCCAGCCCGTTAGTCACAGGGGCGCCCCAGTTGGCCCTCTTGTTTAGATGCACGGGTTGTTACTGGGTTAGTGAGTGCATAAGTCAGGGAGAAGCGCTCACAGGGAGCAGCAGCCTGGTGCAGTGTGCCCTTACCATGTCGCTCTGTGACTGCATGGCCCCGTACATGGTGATCCCATCAGAAGGTGCTGCTGGCTGTGGGGTGTCGGGCTGGATGTACCCTCTTCTGTCAATTAGGCTGCAGGAGAGAAGAAGGGAGGAGAGAGTGAAGGGAAAAAAACCTCAAAGTTGACAGTGACATGATTTAAATGTCCAGGTCTGGGCTCCTTCTATTTGTGATGGCCTCATGTCTGATATCTTAGAATACACCTTACTCATTTCCACATAAAACCAATGACCAAATTCTGTCACTCCTCCTTTAAAAGTCCACTGGCACTGGTTGCCTCCTCATGAGGCTAAAGGCTTGTCACCTGTTGCAATCTCCTGCATCTCCCTAACTGTCTCCCATTGGCTGATCTCACCTTATTCTGCCAATTTGCCCTGGCTTTCCTCTCCAGCCTTAAGTCCCATCTTCCTACACTCACTCAGCCACATGCTTCTGACCAATTGCCATACCATGGCAGCGACAGCCATGTGCACTGCAGGTAATTGGGTGGGACCAGAGCCATGGCTACTCCCTGAAAGTTCTCTGCACTTTGTTTTCTCAATATGTTTAAGCCTTTTTTTTTTCCTGTCCAAAGTCACGTTCCCTCCCACTCCACTGTCAACTGGCTCAAAGGAGAACACTGTCTGTTGAATTACACAAAAAGTTATGCTGGAGTCTCCACCCTAGTATCTCTGAATATGACCTTATTTGGAAATAGGGTCTTTTCAGATGCATCTGGGTTTCTACTTGACTGGGGAGAGCCTGAATCCAATGTGACTGGTGTCCTTATAAGAAAATACAAAGGTACAGGAAGACAATGCCATGTGAAGGAACAGGGTCACACAGGGAGGAGGCCATGTGACAACACAGGCATGAGAAGGGATGTGTGTATAAGCCGAGGAAGGTAGAGGATGCCAAGCAGCCATCAGGAGCTGGGAAGAGAAAGGAAAGAAGGAAGCCCCGCTGCTCCAGTTTCAAAGGGCTCCCTTCTTTGCTAACACCTTGAATTCAGACTTCCAGTCTCCAAACCTGAGAAAATACATTTCTGCTTTGAGCTCCTCTTCCCAGTTTTGGCACTTCATCATGGTGCCCTCAGAAGGTACTACAGGGCTCAGCCCAAGAGGGCACAGAGACCTGTGCAGGGCAGAGGGCTGCAGGTGAGAGGCGAGGGGCAGGCGTAAGGGACCACCAGGAGCACAAGCCTGTCCTCGGTCAGGGGAGCTACAAATGGAGGTCCACAGAGGAACCCCCAGGAGAGGGCTGGCCAGCCTCAAAGACACCCAGCTTACAGCGCATTGACATGGGTCCCAGTGCTAAGTGCCAGGCCCTAAGATTGGCCTTCCCTCTCTCATGGTGAGTCCCCTCCCCACTGTTGAGAGGTGGCCTAGAGGAGTGGGACTAGCCATGGGGGGCAGCGCTCAAGGGGAGCGGGAACCATGTGGCTCCCAGTGGGATCGGGTGAAGGGATGGAAAGTACTTACTGTACTTCCAATGAACTTGGGTTGGGAAGCTATTCCTGAAATGCCACTATTTTGGAGGAAATGAAAGTGAGTTCTCCCTCCTTCCCTGTTCAAGTGACAAGAGAGATTAAGGATTTGTGGGGGTTTTCATCCAGGAGCAGAAGAGGAACTGGGCCACCAAAACAGTCTGAAGGGACAGCAGGGAGACTTGGCCACACCTGACTGTGCCAGCCTGTTTGGTGCAGTAGCCACACCCCCAGGACTGTGACTCCAGGTGCGGTGCTAATGTGGCTGTGCCCCATATGGCCTGCTGATCCTCACCTGGACTCACAGCCCTCACATAAGTCTCTGCCCTCTCATCTTCCCTCTCTACTCCCCCTGCCGCTCCTTGCTCCCTTCATTCCTGCAGATGAAACTATCTGTTCTTCCTTCCTTCATCAGGGGCCTTTGCACATGCTATTTCCTCCATTTGTCAAAACACTCCTCTCCCAATTCCTATTAATCCTTTGGGATGTAGTCAGCCTTGGCCACTCTCTCAGGCGTGGAACCATCGCTGCACCACAGCCGTACTGATTGTCCATGTTGTCCATGAGATGGCGTGCTCCTTGGTACCCAGCATTGAACACAGCAGAGGACCAGGAAACAGCAGCCAACGGAGTTCTTAGCACTGGCTCCATGTAAACAGGCTCATGTAGGGCTTGATACTGGCCCGTGCTTGGGACTTTCTCTTTTCTAGTTTTCTGTTCCTTCTGCTGGATTTATATGAGGTGCCCCTTTCTCCAAACCTGGCCATCCCCCGTGACTGCTACCCACCCCTGGTGGCACTGTATAGGATGTGAGTTTTTATATCCTTGGCATACAGGCTGTCGATATGACAGAGGTGCACACCTGCTCACAAGCAAATCATGTTTATAACACACTAGAGGCAGCCCTTGCACACAGTTCTGGGCACGTGGGGGACACTACTCAGAAGGCTGGCCTGGCAGGGGTGCCTTAGGAAGATCCTGACCTACTCGAGGGCGTGGAGGTTGGGTGAGGTAGACAGAAGGAGAAGGTAAGAAGGCAGCAGGAGCAAGAAGAGGAGAGGAACATCTCCCCTCTCGTACTTGCCTGAGGTGAGCCTTAGGGCCTATGGGAAAAGTGCTGTGCCTTTCCCTTGTGAATAACCTGAGGTGTTAAAATAACTCACTAGGAGGCTGTGGGACTGAGGCTGTTTCAGCACCGGGAGTCCCTACATAAGCAAAAGGAAGCCTAATTCTGTGTGACCAACCTTAACCAACCAGAAACCACAGACTAGACTGTAACCAGGGACTTTGCACGGCAGTGACCCAAATAAGGCCGCTGCTCACTTTAGTCAGTTGGTTATTTCCTTTTTATGCTTCCCCTCACCTTCCTCCAGCCTCCTTGTGCCCCTTTTGTTCAGCCCCAAATCACTTGTGGACTGGAGCTGCCTGATACATGAATCGTTACCTGCTCAAGTAGACTAATACTTTGATGTGCCTTAGTTTCCTTTTTAAAAAACAATTAAGAAGTTCCAAAGGGAGGGCCACCCTCGAGAAGTGTTCCACTCAAAGATTTTGGAAAGAATATGGCCCACATCCAACCCAAACAGCAACGTTCATCCAGTTGTGAAAGGAATTATTTTGACTGTGACAAGATTCGATCTATAAAGCAAGCCATATTGGTTCTTTCCCTGGACTCCAATATGTATGTCAGATAATAAGGAGAAGTGCTGTAATCTTCACTGTAATCCTCCTCCAGGTGCCTCCCTCGACTCCCATGGCCTTCCCCCACCACTCAAAAACACACCAATCGGAAACAATGTAAAAAGGGGAAATTAAGCATTTCTGGAGAGATTCCCCAGGCCAAGGAGCCCTGAGAAGGAGGCCTGGGTCAGTTTGGAGCTCTTTTCATGAAGAGCTGGTAACTACTAGGCAAGCCTGACACCTGCTGAGTGGCCTCATTCTAGAGTTCTTGCTTTCCTGTTCTGCTAGCTCCCCAAGATGATGCCTCTGAGGATAAAATCAGGGACCCCCATCACACCAAGTTCAACAGGAAGGAGGCATATTGGGCTCCCAACTTCCCAGAAAAGTACAAAGAATCCCCCGCTAGTTACCCAGTGACCCCCACAATGATTCATATGAGCAGCAGCCAGTTCCATAAGCAGTGGCCATGGATATATGTGTAGGCTGGGGCTTTGTGTCACTCTGACTTCCCTAGTAAGGGTCCTCTGAGGCTGGCATTAACTTGCAGTGTGCATTCCACAAGCACACTGCAGTGAGGTTAGGCACACAGTGAGGCTGCCCTGCAGACAATCAGTGGCCTTTGAGGTTTCTTTCTGTTGTACAGATTTAGAGACCAGAAGGGAAGAAATAGCAATAGATTGAAAACTCATCCAGAAACCGGATATGCTTGCTCAATCAGCATTTGTTGATGATTAATCTGTGGGAAATAGTCTACTTAGGAATAACTCACAAATAATCAAACACTGATTGTATTTTGAATTTGTAAAGCTCTGACCTGGAGGCAGAATGCATCTGTGGACTCACAAACTGGTTCAACTACTAGCTGTGTGCTCTGGGGCATGTGATTTAAATTCTGTGTCTCATGGGCTGGGGATTTAGCTCAGTGGTTCTGCCACCTGCCTCACAAGTGCAAGGTCCTGAGTTCTATCCCCGGTACCAAAATAAATAAATAAATAAATGAATAAATTATGTGCCTCAGTTTCTCCATCCATAAAGTCACAGACATAGATATCCACCTCATAAGGACAGAATGAGATTTTAAAAAGTCAATACATATAAAGCATTTAGAGTAGTTCAATACTAGTTCAATAAATGTCTGCTATTGCCACGGTTAATATAACTTACAATCCCAGCTACTCCAGTACTTGCTTCTACAGGTTTTCCAATTGTGTCCTACATGCGTGTCCTGGTTACCTGCCATGCTTACCTCAGCTCCCTGCTTGTCACAGACATACAATGTCAATAATTAACAGCGTCACGTGCTTCAGTTTTCCTATTTTGAGATTTTAGAGTACTTTCCCCCGAATCTGACTAAATCAAGACCAAAAACGATGTGAAGTGTGAAATACATTCACAATGGGACTGTAATTTGTGTGTCTCACTCCAAGACAGGTGGTTCTACTTTGAATCTGATCATTGGATATTAATAGCTGATCACCAGGGGTTGAAGCCAGCGGGAACGTGTTTAAGGCTGTGTCCACATGGCAGCAAGAGAAGAAGCTGGGCTGGTGGTCAAAGTGGGCGTGACCAGCTCAAGCTAGTAAGGGCCAGGCTTCAGTTTCATGTAGTCTGTACTGAAACAGCTAAAGTGCTTTTTTCAAGATCTGCTAAGAGCGTGATGCTTTCTGAATCTTACCTTGGAGAAATGGGCCCACATAGGGCAACACAGCAATTTGTAAAGATATTTCCGTAGCTGTAGGGATTGTAATTTTCTTTACCTCTTTTATTTGACCAAGATCCTTTAATCTGAAAGAAAAAGAGCATCAGTAACACACAGTATCCTTCATTCTGATGCCACAGTTTAGGCAAACCAGGCCATGACAAGCTCATGAAAAATGCATGTAAACTTTTCTTTTTTCTTCACCAGGAGAAACTGATGTACTTTTCTAAAGGAAAATGGGTATTTTACCCCAAACTTAGAAATATCCTCAAATAGTGGCTTAAATTAGGGAGAGACTAACAGTCTCTGGGCACAATAATCTTTATTTGTACAACATGGTACTAAGAAGTCCTGTCAAATAAGCCAGTGGAGACTTTTTCATACTCACACCTAGTATCCTAAAGAGTAATTAAATGAACAGTAGCTAAAAAAGTTAATGTGACTCCCAAACTTGCCATTTATACCAGAAGAATTCAGTTTCACTAGCAGAGACTCTAACTTTTCAGTTACCAAATCAAATTCTGTCTCAGTAATGTTTTATTTTAAGTATTTTTATCAGCATACATTTTTCTCAAGCTTTTGTTTAAGGTAATCTGACTTATGTTGAGCCATTTAATTCATGGATACAGAATTATGGATACAGACTTTTGTTAAAATCCAGGAAATAAGAGCAATGAGGACATTTTCCACCATTATGATTCCAGCATTTACTCTCTTTTTCTCCTTGCATTATGTGCGGATGGGACGACTTCCTCTAAAAAACTCACCTGATCACTCCAAGAGGTCAACCTGTTGCAGTCTCTATTAGGGAAAGTGCGACAAGTTGTTCCCAAAGTTATTTACGAGGAAGAGAATCTTCTTAGGTCAGAGCTGGGAGTTACTTTGCTAATTTTATTATCTGACAGACATGGTCAGAAAAGATCAGGCAAGCCAGGTATGGTGGCATTAATGCCTGTGAGGCCAACATCCTGAGAGGCTGAGGAAGGAGAATATCAAGTTTGAGCCCAACCTGGGCAACTTAGTGGCTTAATGAGAACTTCTCTCAAAAAAAGTTTGTTAAAAGCTGGGGCTGGAGATGCAGCTCACTGCCAAGGCCCTGAGTTCAATACCAGTACTGATGGGGTGGGGGATTAGGAGAATGTAGAGATGTTCAAGAGAGACACAGAGGAGACAAACGATGTGCTTCCACTGCACATCCTTTGCTCCCATGGGCTCTTATCTGGGGGTGGGATGTGTGCAGGAAGTTGGCCCCTGACCTCTTTTTCCCTTTTCTTCCTTCACTGTTAAGTGGATAGAGCCAGAGACTTACATCTTCATTCGTTGTCTGGTTGGAGCTGATCAAGTATGTGTGGAAACCTGAGAGGCCAACAATGGACCAGACAGAGAAGAAGCACACCACGGCCTCCAGCACGGTGGCACTGAGTCAAGGAGGCAACTGGAGAGGCAGAGGCTTCTTAGACCCACTAAGAGGAAGGATGCTTACGATTAGTGGACCAAATGCTCACAGTCGGGTTCCCAGGCTTCTTGAGTTAGGTGGCCTTGCCTTATTTTCTGCTGTCCCACCCACCTCCTCTCCAACCAGAGGGAGACCTTCAGGCATGGACCATGTCATATTCCCCTGTCATCCGCCATGCAGAGGGGCATTTGTGGCTCTGTAAATGACTGGTGGGCTCCCTGGCATCACTTGCTTTTTAATGGTGGGCAATGCCCCAGCTGTTTTCCCTACTTGATATTCACTTCTCGTGACTCACGGGGAGTCAGGGACTGAGACCCCCAAATCAGGAAGCTCATGCTTTGAGCTGGCAGCAGGTCAGGATTCAGTGAAGGTCTACACAGAGACCAATGACAGTAGTGGCCAAGGTGTCTCTGACCAGTAGGAAGGTTTCTGAGGTCCAGAGTTTTCTGCCTCAGTGGAACACCTGTTCTTGGCTTGAAAAGGAAGAGAAGAAAAAGGTTGAGGCCTCTGAGCTGGGGAGCATTTGTCAGAGTGGGATCAGGGTAGAGATATTGCTACTTAGGGACCTCTTCGAGCCCCTTAGCCAATCTCTGATATACAAGGCTGATGGAGAATATGACTTCCTCTTGAGGACAGCTGGGGAGAGAAGTCAGCAGTCCCACATGGTGTGTTACTACCAACAGAGAAACAGCTGGGCAATCCTTGACAGATGAGACCAGTCCCCCAAAAGTGTGGCAATTGAGAAAGTTTTTCTATCCCATAAATGTTTATAAGATTCTATTTACAAGATACAGATGGGAACACCCCATTCATCATGAGGTGGGAGTTTAAATACACATCTTGCATTCCCCTGGCAGTGAATTACAGGCTGGAGAAAGCCAAGCCTTGTGCTTTCCTTTGGCTGCCAAGGATGGCATCCACACCGATAGTGTTGTGATGTGTCACCACTGATTTTTTCCAGGTTGGAGGTAATTCATCTTTAGAGTAGAGAGCTGAGTGCATTATCCAGTGTGGTGCCATAATGTGCCACAGTGCAACTGACAAATGCTATTGTCCAGCACATAAAATGGGAAGAAAGATTGGGCTCCTGTTTGTGGGCTGTCAGTATCACAGTAAGCCACAGGGGCTTCTCTTGGAGAAGCAGGTGGTTGGGAGGACTGAGAGAGGCGAGAGAGATGCACTCCTGACTTGGGGCTGCTATGGGGCTGGGCAGGCCTCTGCTTCTCCCAGGGGTAGCCTGGTAAGCAAACGACTATGCTGGGAGCCCTGTGTGTACATAGAGACACAAGGATGATGACCTCCATGGTACAGATGGTCTTGTTCTCAATGGCCTTCCTATAGCTCAAGGCTCACAGAAGCCCCTGCCGGACAAAAGGAGACAGCCTGGGGAAGTAGTCTGAGTGGGATTCATATCTTTCCCTGTCTGGAAAGAAGAGGTGGATTCCAAGGAAAAGGATGAGGTAACCAGAGGGGAGACTGAGTCAAGAAACTGGACTGTGTAAGAGGCGATGATGCTAATAATGAGTTTGCATAAACTGGAAGGAAAAGACAAGAGAAACATCAAAGGAGAGAGAGAGTAAGAGACTGTCAAGAGAACCAAAAGATGAGTGCATGGAATAACATGCGGGAGCCAAACTTCAATCTCAGGAATATGTATGGGTCACCAAATGTTTGAAGTCCAGGTAGGATGCTGCTGCTGCTGATAACAAAGTTAAAATAGAGATAACCATCATTTGTGTGAACTGTATAAAAACTGGCATGTAAAAGTGGAGGAAAATCACAGTAGGTTGAGGGTCTCCTTGCCTACAATTTGGCTGCTGCTCATTTTACAATTCCTCTTCCAATTACTACCTGCATTACTGTTGTGTGACTAGTGGATGGAGAGTTTTAAAGGTTTATAGCAACAACCAAAATTGCAGCTCACTATATTCATATCATGTCTGCTGCAGAAATGTTTCACCAATAGCAGGATACAATGCTACTGTGAGCTCATAGCTGTGGCAAAACAAGGGGAGATACAAGATGCAGCCCTGCCCCTAGCTACAGTCCCTTGAATCATCATCATCATTTGTAACAATGGCTGCCATCTCTGGTGATGTCATGAGGCACTGTTGCAAAGGCACCACATGGATTAGCTCAAACCTCAGAGCAACACAGCAGGGAGCATCATTCCCACTTAAAAGGTTGGGAAACAGAGGCAGAAAACAGTGAAGTAAGTTGCATAAGAAATAGCAGAGCAGGACTTCCAGGAAGATGGCGGAGTGGTAAGTAGCAGAGAAAGCTTCTCTGAGACTTGGTGTCCTTACACTGGAATATAGCAGCGTGAGGAGGAGGAGTAGGAAAGTGGATCCCTAGGACTCAGGAAGGATCTGAAGCAAGAACTGCAGTCTACAGGGAGAGTGAAGAGAGAGACTTTACAAAGAAGAGGGAGGTACTCTCTCCCAGAGCCTGGACTCTCCTCGAGGAAACTGTGGGCCAAAACTACAGACACACAGTAACTACTGATGACCTCAGAGGCCTCCACAGAGAAATGCACCACTGGAACAGAGCAGTAAATGAATCATACTGTAGTGGCTTATCTGGATTCAGACCTCATCCAGGAGAGGGTGGTTGGCTGGTAGCCATCTTGGAGAGGGGTTCTGAGCTTGGAACTCAGAACAGCTACAGGGAGACTCCATTTAGTGGCTTCTGGTGCTTCAGTGTGAGTGCTGAGTTCAAGTCAGCAGGAGGTCTGGGAGCAGAGTTCAAGCTGGCAGGAAACACATAGACTGTTGTAGGCTCAAAGAATCTGGTTCCAGCCTCATAGCCAGAAACTGGCCTGAACTTGAGAGGAACTGAAGGGGCAGGCTGGCTGGGACTATCCACTACCCCACAGTGAGGCTGCAGCTAGCTTGTTGGGATTAATCAGCTTGGCTCTGGACTCTGTTTGCCCACATTGCCTCTTCTTTTACGTTTTTTTCCCCCTCCTTTCTAGTTCTTGCTTAGTTTTTTCTTGATTATTTGAACACAATTTCTAGTTTTTATGGTTGTTCTGTTCTGTTCTTGTTTTCATTTTTTCCTTTTCTTTTTCCCACCAATCTTCTTCACCATTTTCCTAAATTTGTCCTCCAGCCTTGCTTCTGACCTCTCCCTCTTATTCTATTTCTGTTTTTTGCACCCTAACCTCTTTTCAATCTTCTCCCCTAAGGGTAAAAAAGGGTTATTAAGGGCTACAGCCACTGAATGATGCAAAGAAGGATAAGATTGATCAGAGTCAATGAGAAAGCAGGAGATGGCATAAATGGCATAAAAAAACCTGTTCTCAGAGGTAATGGCTCCCAAACATGGAAAAAGAATTTGACATACAAATAAGTAAGACAGATAGGACTCCAATTAGCCATGACGAAAAGAAGTCTTCCCCAAGGCTTATAGTCAAGATTCCAGAAATTTAACACAAGGACAGAATATTAAAAGCTGTTAGAAAAAAGAAAAAAAAATCACCTATAAAGGAAAGTCCATCAGAATTATAGCAGACTTCTCAAAACAAACTCTGATTTCAAGGAAAGCTTGGAGTGAAGCATTTCAAGCCCTGAAGGAAAACAACCTCCAGCCCTTATTGATGTATCCTGAACAACTATCCTTCAAAATTGATGGAGAAATAAGATACTTCCATGACAAAGAACAGTTGAAGAAATTCATGATCACCAAACGTATACTTCAAAGTGTTCTGAAGGATATTTTAGGAAGAAACAATAAAGGTTACAACTCTATGAACCCCAATGGAATGAATCCACCAGGCAAGGCAAGAAATTAAGCAGAAAAGGAAAGAAGGGAGCCAACAGCAGGGAAATAACATGACAGAGATAAGACAATATGTATCAGTTATAAGCATCAATGTTAATGATCTCAACTCACCAATCAAAAGAAATAGACTGGCAGAATGGATCAAAAAGCAAGATCCAACAATATGCTGCACACAAGGAACACATTTAATTGAAAAATTCACAGACTGAAAGTCAAGGGGTGGAAAACAATTTTCCATGTGAAGGAAACTGGAAAAAAGCAGGGTAGCTATTCTATTGCAGACAAAGTGAATTTCAAGCCAAGACTGATAAAGAGAGACAAAGAAGGTCACTATATCATAGTAAAGGGAACAATCCAAGAGGATAACAATCATTATATGTACCAAATAGCAGTGCACCCAACTATACAAAACAAATATTAATGGACATGAAAACTCATACATGCACTAATACAGTTGTAATGGGGGACTTCAATACCCCACTGTCACACGGAGACAGATCTAGACAAAACAATCAACAATGAAACATTAGACTTGAACCAAATTTTTGAACAAATGAATTTAGTAGATGTCTACAGTGTTCCACCCCACAACATCAGAATACACATTCTTCTCAGCTGCACATCTTCTCCCCAAAATAGATCATATACTAACTCATAGAACATGCTTAAGTAAATGCAAAGGAGTTGAAATAACCCCATGCATATTTCAGACCATAGTGCAATGAAATTACAACAGCAAAAGAAACCACAAGAACTTCATAAATGCATGGAAATTAAATAACACCTTCCTGAACAACCAATGGGTCACAGATTAAATTAAAGAAGAAATCAGACAGTTTCTACAATTAAATGGTAATGACAATAGAACATACCAGAACTTATGGTATGTTGACCACAATGAAAGTAGTCCTGTGAGGGAAATTTATAGCAGTGAATTCTCATATCAGGAAAACAGAGTGGACTCAGACAACCTAATGTTGAACCTCATGCTTCTAGAAAAAGAAGAGCAAGTCAAACCCAAAGCTTGTATGAGGGAGGAAATTATAAAAATCATACCAGAAATTAATGCAACAGAGACTAAGAAAACAATATAAAGAATCAATGAATTAAAGAGTTGGTTCTTTGAAAGTTTAAATGAAATTGACAAACTCTCAGCCAACCTCATCAAAAAAA